TTCCGCGCGTGTCGAGGTGACGGAGAGATTGATCGGAGCGGGGTTCTGGTAGAACGGACGTGTGTCGCGTTTTCGGCCGTTTTATTTTCGCGTCGTTCCACACCGACCTCGGTCTGTTTCGAGCGCTCGCCTCTTTTCCTCCTGCATTTCGCATCTGCCCGCGTGCCTTTCGACTTCACCCATCCAATCGTACCGTCCGTTGCCGTGCCGCTCTGTTACGCCACTCGCTTCTACACCTCTTCTCCATCGTGGCCCATCGTCCTCTGCTCTCCAGTGGTCTTGGTGGCGGCAAGTCGTACAGACGCAGGTGAGGTGGGGTGGATGGGGGGGGGGGGTGCTCTCTCATACGGTAGGAATGTTTTACATAATATTATTATATAATATATAATATTATATATAATATATATATATATAATATAATATATAAATAATATATAATATATAAATAATATATAATATATATATAAGCATAATGTTTACTCCTAATAATATAAGGAGGTTACATATGATTACATATAACGGTATATACACATATAGCGCAGACCTGCCAACCCTTACGATTTTTTCGTATTCCTTTTGAATTCCATGATGTTTCTACGAATGTACGATCAAACTGAAAAAACTTACGATTTTTTACGACTTGTGAAATTAATGTTTTTTTACATTGTGAGCGCGAGAAATATCTGGCGATGTGTGGGCGCAGCCATATTGGATCACACGTTCACGGTTTGTTCTCGCGTGATCTAGGAGTTAGTCCCATCATTTATTGCGGCGCATAACATACAAACAAAATGGCCGCCTGCTGCAAGAAAAGAAAATCCTTACTATTTTCATGAATCACAGGTTGGCAGGTCTGATAGCGGTAGATAACCGGGTTGTATGTGTTGTATGTGTGTGTGACAGGACGTGGAACTGGAGATGCTGAGTGAGATCACGCACCTGGAGGAGATCATGGAGGCGCTGAAGAAACACACGGCCGAGCCGAAGTCGCTGCCGGACATGAGCGAGCAGGTCATACGCGATGTGCGCGGCTCCGAGAGCACGACCTCCTTCTTCCAGGTAGCACAGTGAGAGAGAGAGAGAGCAGAGAGAGAGAGAAGGGAGAGGGCGAGAGAGAGAGAGAGGGAGAGGGAGGCGGGAGAGAGAGAGAGAGAGAGGAGGGGAGAAGAGGGAGAGAGAGAGGGAGAGGGGGAGAGGGAGAGGGAGAGGGAAGAGAGAGAGAGAAGGGGAGAGAGAGGAGAGGGAGATGGGAGAGGGAAGAGGGGGAGAGAGGGGGAGAGGGAGAGAGAGGCCAGAGAGGAGCGAGAGAGAGAAGGAGAGAGAGAGGGGAGAGGGAGAGAGAGGAGGAGAGGGAGAGGGAGAGAGAGAAAGAGAGAGAGAGAGAGAGGGGAGAGAGAGGGAGAGAGCGAGAGAGAGAGAGAGAGAGAGAGGGAGAGGGGGAGAGGGAGCGGGAGAGAGAGAGAAGAGAGGGGAGAGAGAGAGAGGGAGAGGGGAGAGGGAGAGGGAGAGAGAGAGAAGAGGGGAGAGAGAGGTAGAGGGAGAGGGAGAGCGAGAGGGGGAAGAGAGAGCGAGAGAGAGCGAGAGAGAGAGAGGGGAGAGAGAGGGAAGAGGGAGAGAGAGGGGAGAGGGAGAGGGAGAGAGAGAGAGAGAGAGAGAGAGAGGGGAGAGAGAGGGGAGAGAGCGAGAGAGAGGGGGGAGAGGGAGAGAGAGAGGGAGAGGAAGAAGGGGGAAGAAAGAGGGGAGAGGAGAGGGAGAGGGCAGAGAGGAGAGGGAAGAGAGAGTGGGATGAGGAGGAAGAGAATAGAGGGGGAGGGGAGGAGAAGAAGAGAAGAGGGGGGATTGGGGGGAGGAGGGGGAAAGGCGAGAAAGAGAAGGGGAAGGAGGAGAAGAGCAAGAGGATGGACGGGGGAAGAGAGAGAGAGAGAGAGGAAGAGAGAGAGCCAGGTAGAGAAAGAGTAGAGAGAGAGAGGGGGAGAGGGAGACACGAGAGGGGGAGGAGAGGAAGAGCGAAGGGAGAGGGATGGCGGAAGGAAGAGAGGAGAGAGGTGTGAGAGGGGAGAGCAGAGAGGCGGGAAGGAGGAGAGAGAGAGATAGGGGGAGAAGGAAGAGAGATAGAGAGAGGGGGAGAGGGAGACAGTAGAGCGGGAGAGAGAAGAAAAAGAGAGAGAGAGAGGGGGGGGGAGAAAAGATGAGATGGCGAGGAGAGAAGAGGAAGATGGAGAAAGAGAGAGAGAGAGAGAGAGGAGAGAGAGAGAGGCAGTATCAGAGCGCAGCAGAGCACCGGAAGAGAAAGAGAGAGAATTACAATGTCTTTGGTCTTTTCTTATACGTTTCTTCTCGCCGCACCGTTCACCTCGTGCCTCCCTGTCTTCCTATTTCATATTCCTCTTATTTATCGCTTCTCATATTATGCTCTCTCCATCCTTCTATCCTATCTCTATTCACTCCGCTCCATCACTCCCTTATGATTCTCTTCCCCACTTCCTACCTTCCTCTCTCTCGCCTGCCCATATCTCAGTCTCCATCGTCCCATATCTCACTATCTTAGAGCATTTCCACAGGCCATAATAGAAATATTGTTTGTTTGCCCTCACCCGACCGATCCGCCAAAAAGGAGCCGACTCAGAAAAATTCTATTGATCTTTCCCATTCTTTTTTTTTTATACAAATTGTATCACTGTACATTATATAAATCTGTAGGCAATACATTATATGTACCAAGCAAAACAAACAGTCAACATAAAAGGTATCTCCACACAAGCACCAACCGAGCATGTAGACACCATGCTGAATTTGTAAAAAGACCCCCCTCAAAAAAAAAAAAGACTACCTACCTACCCAAACGTTTCAGCTGGGTCCGGTGAGGGCAAACAAATTTTTTAATTGTGGCCTAACGTCCAGCGCGGACGATGGCCCCCCCCCTTTCTCGCTGTGACGCGCCTCGATGCCGCTCCCCTCGTGTGTCCACACGTCCTGCCTGAGACACTTACTGCCTAAGAGACGTATAACTATTCCAGTGTGAACAGGGCTTATGGGACTGTTGAAGTAATGTCACGTGATATAGGTACTTCTATCTACCTGCCCAGGTAATGTAAACCAGATTTTGGTTGTGTCTACAGGTCTTTTGTTCTAGACATCTTATCTATCCTATAATCTAATAAGGAATGATCACATGTTTCAGAAACTAAATGACACGGCGAATGTACCGTAGCAGCTTCCTTCATTCCCCGTCTTCTCCAGAGCTATAGTTATAGTTAAGTATAGTTATAGTAAGTATAGTTAAGTATAGTTATAGTTAAGTATAGTTAAGTATAGTTATAGTTAAGTATAGTTAAGTATAGTTATAGTTAAGTATAGTTAAGTATAGTTATAGTTAAGTATAGCCAGTTATAGTTAATGTAACTAAAGTAATGTAGAGTTATAGTTTCAGCTTGATGTAGATAAATTATCATGTGATAAAGTATTCTGGCGTGTTTCTTGCAGGCGCGTGAACGAGCAACGTGCTAATTCGGTTGTTCTTTAAGTTTCTCTAATTGCTAATGACCGTACCTTTCTTCGCTTGCAGGCGTCGCTACAGGAAGCCAGCAGCACAGGCTCGAGCAATGCCAGTACGCCCTCCTCACCCTACCCGCCAGTCATGACGTGGCCCGCGTGGCCCGAGGGGCTGGAGAGGGGCATGCCCGAGCGGCCACACACAATATCCAGGTACCGGATGAGTGTCGCTTGGTGAGCTTGTGCTTCTTAGCTTCTGTAGTCATTTATTTACTAATTTATTGCTAACTTATTGCCTTTTTTGTTAGCGTGCATTTGATTTTGCGGCATAGATGTCCTCGCTGGTTGTGCTATTTTGTTAGCATTTTGCACGTATTTGCATGGTGTTTTTTTTTCTTTGTGTGATTTATGAGTTAAGTGGAGTAGGGGGACGAACAAGCAAGATATAGTGTTTACACTGAGTGTGCAAAGTTTGCATTTTATGAAATGTATATGGGCTGTTTGGTTGACGTGCTGAAGAATATTCAGTCAGAGGGCGCTGTGCATAGTTTATGCTATTCCTGACCTCGCAGATTTGCAGTGCATACTGATAAGTGGCATTACTGTGCCTGTTCCTAGCTATTGCTAAACTGCATGATACTATGAGTTCTAGGTGTTAGTGTCATTAATGGGTTTCCACAGTATCCCTCGTAAGCTGAACAAGCACATCCGCTCGTCTTCCGCTTGATATACAAAACATTCGATCTTTAGTATATCATTGTGCAGCTAGCTAACTAAATAGGGGACAGTTCTCATAAGATATCTTAGGTGAAAGCCTCCTAACTTATGCTTCGACAATTCGCAGGTTGTTTCAGGATGCGCATGCAACCTTTGCTGAAAGTCGCCCCTGGGGGATTCTGTTTTGCCGATTTTGCTGTCAGTTATATCGCTGTGATTGATATGCTAAGCCCCAACTTCCATGCACACCCCGTCTCTTGTCTTCTCCTCGATGCATAGTTCCCAGGTGCTGCGCCGCTTCTGACTGCTTCTTGCAAACTCTATGAGCGTCACAAAATTACGTCGGCATTTTTTTAGCCTTCTGTCTCCATCTTCGTTTGTTAGCCTGATCCGGGGAAGCAGCATTCCTCTCTCCTGCCCCATCGGAACATCATTATGCTTGTAGCCGTGCATGTATTTATTTTGCTAATAGCTTAGCTAATTTCTATGCAGAACATAATAAAGGTAGAACAGTGTGGAAGTTGATTAGTTATAGGTTTGCATATTTATTAAGTTTGCTTACTTCTATGCAGTGCATACAATAGATGTAGAACAATATGCAAGTTGATTAGTATTAGGTGTGCATATTTATTTATTTTGCCTACTCCTAAAATGGAATACTGAGGAAGTTGATTAGTTAGAATGTCTTGCACGCACGTAAATGCATGCTTAATAAACAAAACTGAAAAACAATGATGCTTGAGATGAGACTATCCATCCCTGGTGGGTAAGTATGTTGTTGACGTATGAACACTAGTGCACGTACCAGTAATACCATAACAACAAGTATATTGCAGTTACACTGGTATAATAGCGATGCTGTACTGGCTGTCGATTTATTGATGTGGATTGTTTTACGTTGACTGCAGTCCGTATGAGCATCACCAGGCGCCATCACGACCCCCACTGACTTCACAGACATTTGAACCTCCTGACAAGATCATGGAACGCTCAATGTCTACACCAACCAATTCACTGCCAAGGTAGAGTGATACCGCGATCAAAAACTTGCCAGTAGACCAATCAGTGTGCGCATCTCACGTGTCTTGTCGAAGCGACAAGTAGCGGTTCGTCGGCTCCGCAATGTTGAACAACGTATAATTCAACATGGTCGCATCGCAGGTATGCGCACACGAGCGATTCTCGTTGCCTCGTCGACGGTTGGTTGAATAGCTCGCATGTTCCTGCAGTGAGATTTGAGATGTGCTAACTCTCGGTGTTTCTGTTACAGACCTGAGAGAAGGACTAGCTCATCCTCCCAGAACAGCACTTCATCGAAAGAGCAGCAGCAGCAGCAGCCACAGGTAAGACTCAACAAGGGAGCTTCTCTGTAACCATTTCTTATTGAGAGAAATATGCTTTTAGTAATTCAACACAAATATTGTCGAAAAGGTTTTGATTTCCGTTGCATGCTCGTAATTATTAAATATTTAAAATTGTCAGTGAGTCATTGTTAACAATTATTTTTAAACTAAAATTGTGAATGTTAAACTGAAGTTTTTCTAACCTTGTAGCAGCAGCAACAGCAACAGCAACAGCAACAGCAACAGCAACAGCAACAGCAACAGCAACAGCAGCAACAGCAACAGCAACAGCAACAGCAACAGCAACAAGAATTGATACAGCAACAGCCTCCTCTGCAGTGGCAACAGCAGCAACAGCAGCCTCAGCAGTGGCAAGAACAACAGCAACAGCAGCCTCAGCAGTGGCAACAACAACAGCAACAGCAGCCACAGCAATGGCAACAACAACAGCAACAGCAGCCTCAGCAGTGGCAACAACAGCCACAGCAACAGCAGCGGACACAGCAGCAGCCACAGCAGCAGCAGCAGCAGCAGCCTCAGCAGTGGCAACAACAGCCACAGCAACAGCAGCAGCCACAGCAGCAACCACAGCAGCAGCAGCAGCAGCAGCAGCAACCACAGCAGCAGCAGCAGCAGCAGCAGCCGCAGCAGCAGCAGCAGCAGCAGCCTCAGCAGCGGCCGCACCACCATCAGCAGATGCCCCCGCGCAAGCCTGTGAAGCCTGCCAAGCAGAACGTAGCCGCGTGTGCAATAGCGGCCGCTGCTGGCGTTCACTCGAGAGAGCCGACACCACCTGTCACCGGCATGCCAGACTTCAACCAGACCGCACACAATCAAAGTAAGGCTCTCTTCCTTCTCCCTCTCCCTGTCCCTCTCTCACTCCCTCTTCCTCTCCCTCTCCCTCTCCCTGTCTCTCTCTCACTCCCTCTTCCTCTCCCTCTCCTTCTCCCTGTCCCTCTCCTTCTCCCTCTCCCTCTCCCTCTCCCTGTCAATCCTCCACTCCCTCTTCCACTACATCTCATCTTCATCACTCTCTGTCTCCATCTTATGTTCTCCCTCTTTGTCTACCTCCCTCTTTCTCCTGTGAGCCTTTTTCCTTTCCGCTGTGTCTGCAACTACAGTCTTGTCCTCCCAAAATGCTTGCTATCTTTTTTCCAATCTCTATCTTCCCCAGTCTCTGTCTTTCCCCATTGCGCTTATGTGCACGCCTAAACTAATATAGGTGTGGAATTATGAGAATAATCCAGTACAGTGTATAACATGTGCATTTATGATGAGAAGTGTTTGCTGATTCGGTGGCGCGCTGTATTTCTAGTTGTGCCTCAGCCAGTCTACATGAGTTTGGAAGAGCTAGAACAAACCAGTAAGCAGCAGCAGCTTCCTCAGCCACCACCACAGGATCAGCAGCAGCAACAACAACTACAGCAACAGCAGCTACAGCAGCAACAGCAGCAGCAGCAGCAGTGCCCTACCAGTGCTGGAGGTCAGAATAGGGTACGTATGATGTGCGTTAGTTGTCACACTGAGAAGAGATTTCGTTCCTAGCGATTTTCGGCGTTAGACAGCATATCCAGTGTGACGTAGTGAAGAACCGCATATGTCAGCGAAATTAGTGACGAAAACGGCAGCTAGGTTCGCGGGAACGCTGAATGACTCGCCGAGAAAAGCAGCGAGGCGTTTAATCGCTGCTGCACCTAACCTTTTCATCGGAGAGTTGATCGCCGCGATTAACGTCCAATCACAGTGCTGATCGATGCGTGACGTTTTGCTTCCTCGCGCAGGCATCGATGGGTGGCGCCACCCAGGAGCTGGCGCAGGCCCTGCAGCGTCGCCTGAGCCGGGAGAGCGGCAGCCGACAGTCGCTGCAGTCGAGCGGCTACGGCACGCAGCCGCCGTCCGAGTCCGACGCCTTCGAAGGTAGGTCAGCGCGGCGCGTGGCAGCGCGGAGGCTGTGGGGTGCTAGGTGTGAGGGCGCCACCTCCCTGGTTGAATTAGCGAGTTATTGGGGGCCCGACGGACGAGAAACGATAAGTGGTTAGAACGTCGTATAAAATGTGATAACATTTGAATAAGTGGAGTGACGTGCAAAAGTAATGATATTTTAGTGGTTTTAGTCGGGAGTATTCGTTTCTGATGATGGGCTTCAGGGGAAGAGGGATAGAACCACCTATCTGGGGACGTGAGCAAGTTAGTTTATATTATGCCAAAATGTTTAGGATGATGCTCTCTGAGTATTTTCTCTAACGTTTGCTACACGGCAGCACTCTTGCTTTGCTCGCAGCGTGGTCACCCGAGTTTATATTTCACAGAATTGCACCTTCTGTGATAGTGTTTGCGCCAGCACACCTAATGATCGCTGTCGTTTCATGGCCGTTTCGATTCGTTTATCAAAGGAAATGTTTTTGGTTCTCGTGCTATGATCCCATTTCATTTTCGCAGCGTATCGCACGTATGTTCTCTGTGCAATATAGCGTTTATTATCCAGTGGACATCAGCATGAGGTGTTCGTTTTGCACTGCACAGCGCTGCTCCCTGCGTTTAGTTTGTTTTGTTTTTATGCGCACCGTTGTACGAATTGTGTTTCAGAGTTTGACGATATGTACAATGGCCTAGTAAACAAACGTGGTTTAGACAAGTACTGCACACTGCCTAGAAACTTTGAGTTGTCCCCGCAGCTTAAGCAGTTGCTCAGCCGGAGGCATAACTCTGTGTCAGGTTCGTGTGGCGCGAGTAGAGGCAGATGTAAGGCTATGCACGTGTACGGTAGAGTGGGGTCGTCTGCGTCTCTGCCTGTGTCTTGGTATCCGTGTAGTGGTGCATGCCATAACTAACCTTCTGTTCCGATCGCATTCTTTGTGGTGACTAACAAAGCTGTTTTCAGGCTTATAGTGGGTGCCGGTCCGGCACCTATATTTGAGTAGCAAAATCGCTTGGAGGAGTTGTGTGAGATAATGGTGTAGGTTGGTTAGGTTAGGGTGAGGGTGGTTGGGTATGTTTGATGATAATTTTCTACTAACAGATGGCTTTCAGCTCTTCACCTGATTCGTCTCTTGTCTACATGGCTTCCCCTTGCTTTCCTCATCTGTTTCATGTGCCTACGGTAGCGATAAACTTTGCTGATAGATCTCTTATGCAGTGTTCAATGTTCATAACAGCTGAAAGTAACATTATTATTTGATTTATGTAGTATTATACATTCATCGTGGTATATTAATTCAAGGTCTCCTCAACATTCGAATTTATTGCGAATAACATGCCGCTAATTCATTCTAGAGCTTTTGTTTCATAACAAATCGAGATGCGGTCAGAGTGCGGAGATAAATTGATCGCGTCGACAACTCGTATAAGTCGCGTGACGAGATGCATTCATTCGCAGCGTGTCCGGAGTATTTCAACGCCAAAAGCGTGCCAGGTGGCGCCACCGTAGGACGGGCGAGCGCGGCGAAGCCACCTCCCCCGGTGAGGAGGACGTCGTCCGTGACGGCGCCGACCAGCATGCAGAAGCAGTTCGCCGGGTTCGTGTTCTCTATCTCACTGCTATCACACGTAGTAATGTAGTGTGTGACACATGTAGTAGTGTAGTGTTTGACACATGTAGTAGTGTAGTGTTTGACACATGTAGTAGTGTAGTGTTTGATTCACTACACTACACTACTACATGTTTCACTACACTACACTACTACGTGATTCACTACACTACACTACTACGTGTGTCACACACTACATTACTACGTGTGACACACACTACACTACTACGTGTTTCACTACACTACATTACTACGTGTGACACACACTACATTACTACGTGTGTCACACACTACACTACATTACTACGTGTGTCACACACTACACTACTACGTGTGTCACACACTACACTACTACGTGTGTCACACACTACACTACTACGTGTGTCACACACTACACTACACTACTACGTGTGTCACACACTACACTACTACGTGTGTCACACACTACACTACTACGTGTGTCACACACTACACTACTACGTGTGTCACACACTACATTACTACGTGTTTCACTACACTACACTACTACGTATTTCACTACACTACACTACTACGTGTGACACACGTAGTAGTGTAGTGTGTGACACACGTAGTAGTGTAGTGTGTGACACACGTAGTAGTGTAGTGTAGTGACACACGTAGTAGTGTAGTGTAGTGAAACACGTAGACGCCGTGCCTCTAGCATCGTGTGAGACTGCTGGGCAGTGCAGACTATATTAGCCACTGGGCTGCGCATTCCGCCGCACGTGTCTCTGGCAAGTTGTTAACGTTGCTGTGTGCAAGTTTCTTGCAGTTTACCGAATAGTAAGTAAGCATGCCGTAAAGGGAAGCAGTCGGGTAGAGTGTAACTTTGTCAGAGGTGGAAGTCGCTTCCAATCGGATAGCAGATCTAGAATTGAAACTAATCTTTACATCTATTTTGGTTGGCAATGTATAAATTACAATAAAATATACGTTACACGGCTATACGTGTGAAGGGGAAGCCTGGACTATGATGCAAATCTACTGTCACTACCTTCGTGGGATAGATGAGCTTGTCATTCAATGTCATTGAAATATTAAATCAGCGATGAACTAATGCGAAATGAAATATGACACATGTAACGTTATCCAATGAAAAATCCTTTAAAACATTTATGAGAGAATCGTTTTCCCCGAGTCTAATCGAATATAACACCTTGGACAAAATATTACCTGTGAAAGCGATGAAGCATTTATTACACATCTATTGACTGACGGCCTAATAAAAACAACTCAAGAGAACCTTTTCTTCAAGTCTCCTCAGAGACCATATCTGGTACGAAATATTATCTGGGATAACAATGAAGTATGTACGCCACATTTAAGGACATCTAATAAAAACATCTAAGCCAATTACGAGAAAATTATTTCCCATGTCTAATCAGCGATCACACCTGGGACGTAATATTGCCTGCGATATCGACGAAATGTCGCAGGGTTCGTAGCGGGTTTTCCAAAGTCTTATAAGTACTTATTTTGCCCAAAATAAAATAAGGGCCCTTATTAGTACTTATTTTTGGTGAAATCTTAGAAAAGTACTTAATAGTCCTTATTTTTTTAATTGTTTTATAAACTGTTCTCGACTTAGAGTAAGAATTGTTGTATATAAATATTATTAGTGTACTTTAATAGTTGGTGATCTATCAGAAATTGCGTAAAAAAGTCTTTTTTTGGCCTCCAGAAAGGGTCTTATAAGTCCTTATTTCAACATGTGTCTTACTACTATGAACCCTAAAAATAATACCTAATATACCTAATAACATCTAATAATTATTTAGAAAAGTCTTAATTACTAAGGCTAATCGGACATGACGCCGGCGTGCGCGCGTGTTTCGCGAGCCTGCTGACTAACCTCACCGCATCCTTCGCAGACCAAAGACGTCGGCTAAGCCTGCTGGATACGCGCGATCTCACAGCATCGCCGGCGACATGCACGCGTACGGTGGCGCCACCACCGTCGCCGGGGCGGAGAACGGCGACGAGTCGCAGACGACGACGCCCGTCAACAGCGACGACGACGCCGTGCTGAATCGCGTCAGCCTCATACACAGCCTCAACAGCAAGTTTGCCGAGTCGCTGCAGCACAGCACAGCGATGACCGGTCTCCAGCATCCGCCAGGTCAGTCGCTGACCCCCGCCCGACCCTGTCGGGGCGTCCGCCCGGTCAATTGCTGACCCCCGCCCGACCCTGACGGGGCCTCCGCCAGGTCAGTCGCTGACCCCCGCCCGACCCTGTCGGGGCGTCCGCCCGGTCAATTGCTGACCCCCGCCCGACCCTGACGGGGCTTCCGCCAGGTCAGTCGCTGACCCCCG